CCAATTGGGTGAACTTGGCCAATCACCAGGGGACTGTGAGTTCTAGTCCTGCCTTAGGCATGAAAGCCAATTGGATGAACTTCGCCAATCACCAGGAGACTGTGAGTACTAGTCCCGCCTTAGACATGAAAGCCAGCTGACTAATCTTGGGCTAGTCAGTCTTTCTTCCCAACTCACCTCACAAAGTTGACGTTGTTGTTGTGGGGAAAATAGAAGGAGGAAAGTGTTATGATATGAAATGTGTTTGAATATTAGTAGCTTGGGCTGGTAGTTAGGATGCTGGTTTGAGCTCTGAGCTTGGCTTGCAAACGTTTTGTCACCATTCGAGGAGGCATCGTCAGTGTGTTTTGAGTTGGGCTCGTATGTGCCCATGACTCAGAAATAGCTGAGCAAACAATAGTCAAACTAATTTGCATCTCATAAAAAAGTATGTAAAGACCTGTGTTCTGACAGATGAGCACAACTCAAAATTGCATTGACGATGTCTCTTCGAATGGCGAACGAAATGTTTGCAACCAATTTTCCAAGCTCGGAGCTCAAACCAACAGCCTAGTGTTATGATATGTTTTGCCACCTTGAGTTATTTGCAGAAATAACAAAGGCAGGATACAAATAACTTTCCATAAGTTTGCATACTTAGGTTCAAGTAACAATTGAATTGAATTCTATTCAGTCAAATGCCTATTAAATCAAATGCCTTAACTGTATATATATGATAGTTGGCATTTCAAAGAAGGTCATTTTGAAGGCTACTTCCTACAATTTTTGTATACTCCAACGTATACAATGCCTTTTGTATACTCCAATGTATACAATGCATACAATGCCTACAGAACTTTTTTCTCAAACAGTTTTAGCTCACTTCCTGCTAGTATCATTGTAAATCATGTGCTGGATTGAAAGTGTCTGCTACATTTTCTTGAAAAACGACGTTTGGAAGTTGACCCGCTGGACCTAAATTATAAAACTACATTATTTTTTGGCATTAACGCCTTGACAAAGGAGACCAGGTCCATTTCAGAGGCACGTCAGAAGTGACACATTATTTGCAGCCTGTAATATACAATCCACCTCTGCACGCTTTCACACAATCTTTTTAAAATCTGAAAAGCAAAAATGAAAGAAGAAAAAACCCAGAGTGGGTCGTGGGAAAAAAGAAAGGATAAGAAACCAAGCCTTCAGAGGCAAGCCAAAGTAAAAGAACCCAAGAAATGCCATAACTTACTGTAGCTACTTTCACTATCGCTGGCATTAGAAGAGAGATGTTCTGCAAGAACAGGAGAGCAAATTAAAAGGAGAGATAGTCAAGCAACAAAATGTCAAGCAATCACCTCCGGTCATGCAATCGGCATGCAAAGTAAAAGTCGAAGTGAGCGGTGCGGTAAGTCAGCCAAAGAGTTTCCGAGAAACTTGACTAGGAAGGCCAAAGGACATGATCATGGGTGGATACGCCGAGAAAGGGCTGTATTGCCCGTGATTTACCTCAAATAAACCGCCGCCAAAGAAAGCGTTAAGGATGTCTTTGCAAAAACTTTGTTTCGCAAACATTTCTCAAATGTTTTCGAAGGGTGATGAGGAACAAAAGAGGGATGTCAGCCATGTGACATGACTCATATATGAGATGTACATGGACTTGCTAGTGATGTATGGGGCTAGCTGCCTCGTTGGTGAAAGTACGTCCACAATTAGCCTTGGGGAAAGAATTGTGAGAAAGGGAAACGCAGGAGGAGCAATGTAGAAGGGTCAATAAACTCTTTCCCGACCCGCCACTATCCTTCTTTCATTTGTTGCCTTCTAAAACATCTTTAACCACTGTGGCTGCTGCTTATATTATTATTATTATTATTATTATTATTATTATTATTATTATTATTA